AAAAATCATTGTAATAATAATAATTCTTACTATCACATGAGTGATAATAATTAAATTAAGGATAAAAGCCTAGACACAAATGAAATGCACACATTCTTGAATAGTGATTTAACAAAAATGTGTATTGAACAGTGTTGAACTAATACATGCACGTATTTTGCATCTTCGAATTTCATTATATTAATTACTAAACATTTGGCTGTAACTTGTTAGGGGAAAAAATAGGTTTAAATTACAGCTTTCGTGTCATATAGGTACTGGCACTGACCTATATATAACTTAATAATAATCAAATAAACAAAATAGTAAATCTTTATAAAAAATATGGTTACTTAAGTTGTAAAAATGTATAAACATCAATAAATGTGGACTGGGTATTATTACCTATATTTCAAATTATTATTAAAAAAATTATGAAACCATTAAACGTATGATTTGATAGACACTTACCTAGGATTTAAGGATTCATTTCTGTTAAAATATAAATGATTAATTAGAATCATAACATCTGAGTCCATTCGAGATTAATATAYAGTGTGTGTGTGTATATTTATACTCGTATACCTAGTATATGAATTTTCAATTAAAATAACGGCTACATAAATATWTTATACATGTGTGTTAGAATTCCCTAAAAGTAAATTTGTKACTTCGACACTCCCTAATATATCGTCAAACGTGTAACTTATGTGCGAAAAATACGTGGAGCACGTTTAAAAAAAAAGTTGTAAAAGTAGAACTCGTAACATGTATAAAACATATTATAGATACCTATTATAATAAGGTTATCGATGACGGGACTTGTGAGGTTTATGCTGTTAATAACGTTTAAGCGTCTGTAATAAATAATAATTAACAGGGTGTTTGAATACACTGTACTAAAATAGAGGTATCTAAACTCACAGTCTCGAAGGCGACTAATCTTTTGGCAGGCTTGACAAGCGGCCTATTCATGCCGTTCATTTTGTGGTACAGTCCGCACGCGTTGCACAGATAATGTCCGGTGCCGTCACGTCGCCACAGCGGTGTGGAAATCGCACCGCAGTTGACGCACTCCCGACCGTCACCGAACTGCAAATCCATTCCGGCGTCTGAAACACAACAATAAAAAACGTTGTAGACGACCATTCACCAAGTCCTGTATCGCATTATTATTTTTCGCGAGGTGCAATAATTATCACAGTTTACATGGAATTTCGCATTTTGATCATAGCAACACATGGAACCTGGAAAGAGGCCGTGCCTACACTTATTACTATATTGTAAAGAAGATTCGACAGCGAAGAATTCCGTGTGAACACATTTTCTGAACGTTAATAGATAAAAGAAGACACGATCRAACGCATATGCGGCGCATATGTCGTGAAACCAAATAATATAATAATAAAATAAAAAAAAATAATAATAATGTATACCTAAATGTATTAAATAAAATAAAATAAAAAGTGTGCGTGCATGAGTGTATCTTAAAACCTTATGGCGCCAAACATAAATTACAATACGTGCGTACTGCGTGAAGGGGGAAGGGGTGAGCAACCGGTTAAGGCACTCGGGACTAATTGATCGTGTTTGGTCCCTCTGGTTGAGTAATTTGTCATGTTCCGATCGGATCGGAGGTCGGTGGGGTTTTTTAAAATATTTKTATTTTTTTGTATTCCATAATAGTATATATTATATACACCTACAATATTAACGCCACCGCCGTCTTCGAAGCGCCAACACACGACAACGACAACCGTGACGACAATGAATAATATGAAGAAGAAACCGGTCAACGGGTCGTCGCGCGTCGTCGTCGCCAGCAAAACGGTAGTCGATCGGTAATCGTMTGGACCAGTGATCCGACTTGTGTGAACATAAACCCACACTTAAACATATGCACATGCATACTTCTATAATAGGCCACCAATTACCTATATAAAAAGCCACTACCTACCGGAGTATAGTCTGGTAACATTTAATTTACGGTATTAGATAAATTAGTTTTTTCATAAATATTTAACGTTAATCATCAACGATCATAATGCGTGATTTTACATACATATTTGTTATTCTTAAGTACCTATTACGCTGACGATTTTTAAAATAAACTAAATTTAAAATAATTGTATTGTTATTTCCGATAAACATTCTTTACTTTTTAAAAATCGCTACAAAATATTTATTGCGTACTTACAAATTGAAATATCGATTTATTTCAAGAAACTTTGTGGTCGTAGTTGATTCCTAATGAATGATAATTTTGACGAACTTAGTTTAAAAATATTACCAATCATTAAAGTATTATTGAAAATAAATACAAAAGATGAACATAAACTACGGAAAGAATCAAATAACCTATTTTCCTATATATTAACCGTTTGCTATGACACTACAGAAACAAACACGTTTATCTAACTACTATATTATGTTTTGAAATGTCTAGTAGTTTAGTTTTGAATTGAAWCTATTTGTATAATGTTTGTTCAAGAGGGCTAGATAATCTAAAAAAATATTAGAGATAAAGAAAAACAATTTATTGTATATGTGATTATAATATATCATAAACATGATTATTCGTAAAAAGTTTACGTTGTTCAAATTCATTATTATTAAAACTCATAATAAATTAAAATGACAATAATCCAATTTTAAATAGTCTACTCCACATTTCGTGCACTACTTATACAGTTATATAATATACACTATTGTACATAAAATAGATCTTATATTTAAGTTATTCAATATTGTTCTCCTGTTCATTTGAATTTATTTTTGAGTTCGAGTTMGAGTTTATATAAATTAATCAGATATTATTATTATTACTTATTTCTACAAACTTAATTGTAATATCTACCTACTCAAGCATGATAGGCAATATAATAGGTACAAAAAGTTATTKTATCTAATTAAGTTGATTATCAAAATTTAAAAAAACAAAAATGCGTGTAATATATTCGTACAAATATTGTATATATATGTATATATATTAATGTATCACGATTTATAGTCATGATCTTGTCTTTCTAAATAGGTACACTTTATTATAATGCATTATTTACTATATTATTAAATTAAGCTTGTAATATTTTACACGATTTGAAGTTTATTTATACCTATACTTATATATCAAAATAGAAATAAACTATGTACTGTGTACAAAATCGTTAGTAATAGTAAGTATCTATAAGTACCTACTGGTTACTGAGAGTATATACTTCAACGAGTATTATTTTACTTTAACAATTACTGGTAAGTGATAATATTATAATATTGATATGAACGCTAATTTACCAATGATAATATTATAAAGAAAACATACAGCTCAACTAATAGATACATGTAAAACGATAAAAAAATCGTGAATTGATGAATAAAGACGCTGTAGAAATGTACAAAATATTTAATTTTGATGAACAGATAAAAAATATTGTGCTGCGATAAATTACGTTAAAACGGAAAAAATATTTATTCACCAATCACGTTATTTGCCAAATACTTAGGTACAAATGTACAATTAGATAGTTATAGTTTTAAACCAGAAATTTATTCCAATTAATATTAATAAAATAAAATATGTCCTCTATTCGATCGATCTCGTTATTATTATCAGCATTTAAATTTCATTCGGTTATTAACGAGATTCACTAAAAACTCACGATARTTCCTACATTTGTATACAAATAAGGTTAATGGCCGGCGAATAACGTTATATTCCGATAGAATGTCATTATGAATGTTATTATACTTATACATATAATTTATACAATAAGCACCACGGATGTTATCGAGAAGGGAATTTACAATAGTAATCACACCTAGTAGATTGGTAGAAAGAACTTGATAAATACAAATTAGTTTTACAGTATACTTTTATATTATAAGATACTATAGTATCTGTTTATAAACAGTGACGAGAACTTACTGAATTATATTATATATTCAAGTTTTTAATAATAAGTAGCAATCAATAATTAATGAATACATGCAACTGAAAAAATGATTAGCATACAATTTAGGTGCTGTATTTAGCGAGTGGTTTTTTTTTTAATTATGTTCTATGGGGCCGGTCAAAATTTTT